TAACAAACAGGTTTGTCCTGGAGATGGTGAAACCAAGTTGCTTTTTGGAGGCCAGGATTTTGAGGCTGTCTCACATACTTTGAGTATGTTGCCAGAAGGGGTCAGTCTTTGGAGGAGGACATCATGCTTGGAAGGGTAGAGAAACAATGCAGGAGAGCAAGATGTTGGGTAAAATAGAGTGGCACAGTGACTGTGGTAATAGAGGCAGGTGTGTCAGAGACAGTAAGATTGGCTCAGGATAGGACAGAATTCAGAGCTATTGTGCCTACGGTTGCTGTGAGTCACAGATAACTTGGCAGCACATGTCACCAAAGCTCCTTAAAGGGAGCAAAAAGGAGTAAATTAATAGTCATGGGCAACTAGAGATTTATGATATGGGTTTGAGTATACAGAAACGAGAAAGCTGGTTCACCTTTCAGCAGATGGAAACACCACATCCACATTTATCCTTCATTACAAATTGCAGGAAACATTGTGTGGGTGAAGTTGAGTCACCTAGAGGGTGTGACAAAAGCTAGGTGTTACTTTGGACTTTTATTTACAGCAAGAAATTAATTTCCTCTTAGAATAGGACTGAGTGAGCACCTAACTTGCAGCCCTTTCTGCATTCTTCTCTTAAAAAAAAATAACGCTATTCTTTATTGAGGGAGCTCTACTGGCGTAGCCACTAAAGAGTTGAGCTGTTCAAGTCAAAGGTAGTGCCTCTTTGGAGATTCCAATCCATCAGTGGATTTGATGGAGAAAGATGGATAATCCCCTCCCATGTAATTTACCCTCTAACAGCCCACTGGAGGGTCAGCTTATGTCAGTTCCAACTCAGAGGCAATGAATTGTTTCTTTGTTAATTCACTGAGGTTTATTGGATATACACTGTGTCAAGTACAGGGCTTTATGTAGTTCATGTCACTTATTCATTCCAAGAATCTCAGAAGTATGACTTTATTATCCTCGTTTTACAGAGGGGAAAGTTTAGAAAGTAGCATTTCAGGGGTTACCCAAAGTTCTCTATTAGCAACTGAAAAGGGGTCTGCATGACTTCCTAGTTACTTATATCTGTGAGGAAAAATCTTGGGGGCAAGGTGTCTGGATCTCCCTTAGATTCTGATGGAATTTTTCCAGTTCCTTCCATTGTCTCCACTAGTCTGTCAACTTACAGCTTCGTATTCTGGCAGTATGATTCAGTATGACAGTCTGATCCTTCTCATCTCCATGTACAATCACAGATCAAGGGAGGAAGTGGTCCACATCACACTCTAGCACATATTCTTGCCCAGCTCTATCTACAACCTACAGTAAGGCCTTATTTCCAGTCCTTCATTGGTTCTTCCGTTGCCTGCCAATCTCCCACATTACATGGTGGTTTCCGCTGGATCACATACTCCACTGCTGAAGGCAGTTAAGAGAAGGCTGGGCCCCTCCCAGGTTCCGTGTAGGAGAGAGCACGTAGGCCTGAGTGCGAAACTCCCAGAGTAGCACATGAGAAGTGAGTCAGAGGGGCAGCTGTCAACACATCTGAGGGGAAAGACTTTGCTTGGCTAGTGAGAGGCCACCTCCTGGCTTTGTTAGAGGATTTGGACCCAGTGGTGTCAAGAGTAAGCAGGGTATAGCACAGGCCTGAGGACAAGTGGACAAGTGCAAGAAGACTTGTCTCTGGTTTTTAAAATTAAATGATTGGCCTTCACATTCTTCCATATAATCTTTCAGGAAGGGCTCATCCAACTCAGACCCTACTTTCAACTCCAACCAGAGCATTAAAGCGGAATGAAGAGCAACACTGAGTGGATTTCAGAATTATCTCTTGTGAATCTGTTCTCATGTTCAGGTAGTTATATATCCTTCTGGGTTCCCCTTGTCCCTTTTCCAAAGGAGGACATGTGGATTTGGATCTATTATGCTATTCTTTAAACTCAAAGAACATTCTTAGAGCAGATCATGCTCTTTGGATGAAGGCAGAAGACTTTGAAAAACATGGAATCTTTAACAAGGAAAGAAGAGTGTTTCGGATCAGAATGGTGGAAATGAGCCCAAGTGTGAGAATGCAGTCGCAGGATGCGGGTTAGGTGGAGGTCTAATCTGGAATAAATATCACCTTTACCAAGGGGTGAGAATTTAACTTGGGTTACTCCTGATCAAAGGTCTATAGGTGGCTGCTTGAACAAAAGGTTGGAGGTTTGACTCCACTCATCGACACCTCAAAAAAAATTGTTGATGACCAACTTCTGAAATACTAGCCATTTGAAGCCTGTTGAGCCTCATTCACCTCTGACCTGAATGGGGCTGCTGTGAGTCAGGCTGACTGAAAGGTGAATCGTTGGCTGCTCTTGAGCAACCTGGGCCTTGTGTATGGTCAGGGCCTCAGATTCCTATCAAGGCTCTCTTGACAGCTCGTCTCAGGTTTCCTTAGTCATTAAGGAAGTAATGACTCAGGAATAAAGTGATTGCATCTCAGACAGGATCTTTAAATACAGCCAGTACAGCGTGTTGAATCATCCTTCAGAAGGGTGCCTTCTCGTTTGAGGGAATCGTTTACAGACATACCACCCTGAACATGCCCAATCTCATCTCTTTTGAGACAATCTTTAAAAAGACAAAAACTATTCGTGGTGCAGTAGTTAAAGCAAGGCTTCTAACCTAAAGGTCAGTGGTTTGAACCTATCAGACACTCCATAGGAAAAAAAAAAAAGCACAATCTGTTTCCATAAAGATTTGCAGCCTTGGCAACTATATAGAACAGTTTTGCTCTGTCCTATAGGGTCACTATGAGTCAGAATTGACCTGATGACAATAAGTTTTGGTCTTGGGATCTAAAAAAATGTATCATTTGGCCAGCTATAGACATACCAGTCACTTGTGACAGACCAGGTCTTCTCCCAGGGGCCGGGGACAGGGTACCTGGCTTATGAGTGCGTATGAAAGAATGTTCACACTCACACCCCACATACCACACAAAGGTGGGTCTTTTTGGCCTCTTTACCTTAACCTGCTCCTCATTCTCATGGAGTTTTGAAGGTGATGGGTCCCTAAGGACATGGTCCAGAAATACTTGGCAGATCTAAATGATGTCTTTCCAGCAACTGTTCCTTTGATCAGACCCTCACATCTGGAAATTCCAGACTTCACCCAGGTCACAGCTATAAACAAAGCCTACTTCCCCAGGGAGATTGGCCATGTCTGATCCGCAAAGGTGTATGCACAAGTTCACATCACCTACACATATTACCTGGGTTTTTTTAAATTTTGTTTTGTTTTTTTGGCATTTTCTCAAGTTGCATAACTTAGGAATTTGAAGGAGGTTCTGGTTAATAATATTATATGGCTGCTTTCCAAAACCTAGACAGAAAAATAAACTACCCCTCCCCCAAAGAAAACAAAACTAAAAAAAAAAAAAAATAAAACACTAAATATTATCCTGCACAGCATTTAATTTCTGACTCTTCAGGAAACACAGCAGGACCTTGATAGGTCTTGGGGTTGAGTCTTTGATCCCCACAATCCAGAGGCTTCTGTGAGGGTCTGAGGAGGCGTGGGGAAGGAGAGGCAGCAGGAGCCTCACAAGTCCTTCAGGCCTCAGAACTTGTTAAATGACAGCGTAACTGGGGATGAGTCACTTTCATTCTCCAAAGTAGTGAGAAAGGGGCTTCTTTAAGGTCCTGCTCAGCTCTGAGAGGCAATAAATGGCCAGAAGAAAAGGTAATGTACTGATTTTCCACCACAGGGGCTAGGGACATTAAAAAACCACCTGGAAAAGGGTGAGCAAAGCCTGAAACAGTGTCTGAGCACCCCTCTGAGTTGGGGCTCCTGTTTCTGCTGTTGATCTAACCCAGGCTTCAGTCATATGAAGACTGAGATGGGAGAGGAAAAGTGCAGGAAGACTTGGGGTTGGAGACCAGGGAGAATTTTATTCATTTATTTGTCTAGCTCATGGACAGGGCCTCTCAGAGTTGAGGTGGAAATGTATTCAGAGTCACCCTCCTGCTTCCCCAGATACCCGAGCCCTACTCTGGTAATCAGTCAACAACAAGGTTTTGTTACAGGCATGTGGCTTGTCCTTGGTACTGGAGACAGGAAAAGGGTAGAGGGTGAATAGATAACAAACCAACCCCTCTTAGTCCCAGGTCCCTGCCAGAGGGTGGATGCTTCATCCAGGGGGGTCCTCTGAGATCTTCACTTCATGTGGATCTCTGTTGGCCTAACCATCTTTTGTTTTTAAACCAATAACACTTCAGCTCTGGTGGTCTAATGGGTAGGAAGCTGTGCTGCCAACCCAAATTCAGTTTGAACCTGTCAGCTGCTCCCCCGGGAGAAAGATGGGCAATCTCCTTGTAGAGGGACTTGGAACTTCTGAACACTTGGTGGAGGGTCAGCTATGAGTCAGTTCTGACTCAAAGGCAATGCGAGAGAGAAAACACATCCGTTTCAGTTGCCTCATTTTACTTCTCTTCAGGCCTATGGTTCGAATCCACCAGCTTCTGGGAGAAGGATGAACAATCTCCTCCCATGAGATTTACTGCCTCTAAAAACCTGCTAGAGGATTAATACGTGTTTGACTTGACAGCACACAACAACAACCACAAATTACTTCAGGTTTAGCCAATACTCCCATCTTAGGTCTGGCTAGAATGAAGTCAACCCATGTAAGAAAATCTCTAGCAAAAGCAGAATTCTGAGCTAGATCTCCCTTTCAAAAAAAAAAAAATATATATATATATATACACACATATACTTTAAAAATATATAGACGCATATAAACTGGGGGATGCTTACACTCACCCACACACACATCTCTAGGAAATCATCTTCAGTATGAGCTCATGACAGAACACATGAGGACAACCTCTCCGAATATACACGCATGCTTGTTTCAAATCACTTTACAGAGGAGAGAGCTTCTGAGAGAAAACTCCCCTTGCTCCACCCCTGAGATGAAAGGGGCTCAGAAGCCTAACCCAGAATCTCTCCTTGTGCGGTGATGGAGGTGATGGTATGCAGGCAGTGAGAGCCTACTCCTTCAACAGTCCCAGCTTCCTCAGAGCCTCCCTTCTGTTTTCATCAGGCATGCCCCTTGGGGTGATCTGGACTGTGACATAAGGGGGCCGAGGAAGCTTGTTACGGCTCTGCCCAGAGTAGGACAGGCGTTTTGAGTTCCGCTCCTCCTCCAGATCAGCCAGCTTGCCCACCTGGATGCCTGCGAAATCCTTTCCTGTGCCCGAGGAGGCCGGCCGGGGCCCGGAGTTCCGCAAGTCACTGGGTGAGATTTTGTCTACGAAGGAGCTCTTTTCCAGAGATGAGCTGGTTTGGGGGCTGGGGTCTTTCTCAGCTGAGAGGTAGCTGCTGAGGCCCACCCCTGAATGTTCCAGACCAGGAATGTTGCTTTCCTGTAGGGTCAGCCCCGCATCATGCTTTGGTGGAGTCAGGGGGCTGTTTGCGCTTGTGGCCTTAGGGATGGGAATTGGCATGGACTTGGCTCCTGGAGTCATCCCTGGAAGGGTCCCCTGAGCAGGAGCTGAAACCTTCCCTTGAGAAGATCCATGGGTCAGAACTGAAGTCGAGGCCCTTATAAAAGAAGATCCACGAGCTGGAGGCGAAGCCTTCATAGGAGGTGGTTCCCGAGCTGGAGATGAAAGTGGGACCTTTCCTGAAATGGGAAAGGCTGCTGATGCCTGAGCTGTTGCTGCTGGCTGAGCTGGAGTGGAAGCAGGAGCCAGGGGAGTGGCCCGGGCAGAAGGCTCCTTGAGCCGGAAGGAGCTGGAGGGCTTATTTAAGTGGAGGCTGGGCTCGTCTTCATCTTGCGGCAGCCCCAGTTTCTCCAAGGCCTCTCGCCGTGCTTTCCTCTGCTCCTGCAGTGAAGAGGACACCAGGCCAGAATCTCCAGGGGCCACCTCAGAGTGGCGGGACAGCCAGTTGTGGGTGTCACTGTGGAAACTGGTTCGGCTGCTTTTCAGAATAATGTTGGGTGGCAGCTTCCGGGGTTTGGGGGCTGTGAGGGGTCCCATGCGGACATTTGAATTGCCCCCAGATGGGAGCAGGGCATCCCCAGCTCTAGCATGCTGAGCTGATGAGGCAGAAGAAGATTGATTTTGTCCTGGACCTGTGGCTAGGTCATTCTCCTTGGCGTTTTGGGACATGACCTCTGAAGGAGCTTCCTCTCTCTTCTGGGGACTGGAAGATGGATGAAGCTGGGCTGTGCTGCCCAGCTGCCCTGGTCTCTTGGACAGGCTGCCTTCCCCACACGACTCTGGCCCGGAGTCCCGGAAGCCCTCCGGTGGTGGGATGAGCACCACGTCCAAATCGAGCTCGGCCTCCTGGGGGCTGGTGGGGGCTTGAAGGAGCTTACTGCTCTGATGGTCCTCTTTGCTCTCAGGCGCTGGTACAAGTCCTTCAGATTGTTCGTGGATGTGGTTGGTAGCCTGGCTGGGGCTTTTCTTGGGCTTCTGGTTTCTGCCAATGTGGATATTTCGGGGGAGGCTGTGGGAGACAGACCTGAAGCTCAGGCCTTGTGGCTCAGAGGTTTGGGATGAGCTGAGCTGAGTTTCTCTTCCTAGTGTCTCTGGTGCGGGCTGGGTGGCCGTCACTTCCTGATGTGCTGTGAGAGGGAAGACAAACAAAATAAGAGTGGCCAGAGGTAAGAGCCTGGCTGCAGTGGGAAAAGCAAATACTCCCTGAACTCTGATCTCTAATTAGCAGTGGACGGTTTGATTTCATTGCTCTTAACTGGGCAGCACTCTCTTCTGAATATTATTTAGACTAATGAATCAGTAACAACTGATTTCTTTCAACCAAGGATCCTCCATTATTTTTTTTAAATGGAGGCTGTAGAGAATGTAGCCCCAAATTATTCCATTCCCTTGACACAGGCTCTTTCCGAGACTATCAAGATACACCAGGCTTGGGGACAAGGGGACCGCTCCTTCAGGCTATCACAAGGTTGCCACACATCTGAGCCCAATAGGAACAAATGTGCAGTATTTTGTTCTTCCTTCCATCTTCCACCTTTCATTTCTCTGAGAACCTGCATGGTTTGTAAATGGTCACAACCGCCCTGCCACAGAGCATGGCATAGGCTCCTTCCTCTCTGAGTTAAGCAGGCATCTCAGTCCACCAGGGCTGTGAATCAACCTCAAGAACAGAGAAGCCCCATGTCCCATTTTATTGCTCTATCTCTAGAGAGGATCTGATGCAATGTCAATACCTGCTAAATGAGTGACTAAATTATTGCAACCCGGATACCAGTGGGAGTGCCTTCAGGCTGATCGTGCCCCCCCCCCAGGATTGGTTATATCATTCTACTGAACCTGAACCCCACTGGCTCTCCACACTCTCACACTCTCAAGGTCCTCAGGCACCACCCTTTGCAGTTAAAGCAACCCTTCTCACCCTCCTTATCTCCTGCAGCCTCCTCCTCTGCCTTACTCAGATTAGCTCTCCAGACTGACTCAGTCTCTCCAGAGCCAACCACCCACCTCTCCTTGCTGCCCTCCCCGAATTCTGTAGTCTTATCTCTTTTGAATTTGTCAAGGAATGATGGCAACCGATCAAAGTCCTTCCTCACCCAAGTCTTTGATACTTCTTCGGAAAAGACAGGAGAGTGGTAGGAATGTCCCTGTCCCTTGCTCTGCCCATGACCTTTGGGACAGAGGGCAGGGGAGGTAGAAACAGCCAGAAGAATGCACAGATTCTCTAGGTTTGCTGTTTCTCTTACCCTGGGGAGCAGGTGCAGGTGGAGGTGGAGGTGGAGGTGGAGGTGGAGGTGGAGGCAGCGTCCGGGAAGCCTGGGGAGTCAAGACCGACTCAGACTCGTCAGCAGACAGCCCGCTGTCGACCTCAGTGTCCAAGGATTCAATGGTCTCCTCCAGGAAGAGCAGACACTCCTTCTCTTCAGGGGACAAGAAGTCGTAGCTATTGTCACTCTGCTGGGAGGGACAGGGGAGAAGAGGAAGGACAAGAGGGAGAGAGAGCTGTGAGAGGAGCTTGTGACTGCAGAAACTGGCGGGGCCTGAGAACCACCCTGCTGTGGAGAAGGAATGCTGAAGAGCTGGAAACCTGTCCACACCACAGTGCTGCCCTGCAAACCACCTGAAACTGCAGGTGCTGGGAGCATAGCTAAGACGGCTGGGCTGCCCCACTACTGTCAGCTCTAATCCTTGGTAGAAGGGCTTGGCTCCGAAGCAGTCCCAAATTCTAGGCCCAATTTCTCCAGCTGACCATTGACATGGATTTCAGGAATCCATGTGCTTACAAGGACTTGCGTTCAGTTTCCACCAGGCTCACGCTCATTTTAGCCATAACATATGTACAGGCAATACACATGCGGTCACCATGCACCGGAAATCAACTTGATGACAATGACTTATAATGATCTGAGTTTGAATTGGAGTGATGTTGCTGTCAATTTTTCAAAGTCTTTTTGTATACTTGATTTTGTGTGTCAAGGGCAGTATGAGGACAAACAGGAAATGTGGTCAAGGACTCACTGCCGGGCCAAAGGGAATGACTAGCACAGATAAATAACGAAATAATTTACACTTGACTTTGAAATGCATTCCATACTGGATTTTTCCCCCCTCTTGCATATTTAGTATCTTGATGGCATTTGATTCTGGCTACCATTCAAACGAGTGTAAATTTTTTAAGCAAATATTAAAGAGGGTAGGTGAGTGGAGAAATCAGATGGGTACAGAGGAATGGAAAGAAATTTGGTGGCACATACACACATACTTTCAGTTACAAAAAAAGATGGGCACTGTCCATAGTCCATTATTGTTGTTGTTATGTGCCTCAAGTCACTTGCAACTCATAGTGACCCTATGTACAATAGCTCTGAACTCTGCTTTATCCTGAGCCAATCTCACTGTCTCTGATACACCTACACCCATTAACAGCCGGCCGCTCCCCAGAAGAAGGCATTGAAAGGCAATGCAGAAAGGAAAATGGGAAGAGAAAAAATGTCACCAGACTTTCTACCATTTCTACCCTTTTTCCTAATAGTTGGGACACATAAGAGTTGTATGTTCTCCAGATCCAAGTAGATGGCCAGGACAGATTTTTTTGAGGCAGCCCTAAACATATTCTTGTAGTTGTGAAAGGCAGATGAGGGCATAACATCTTCTGGCTCAGTGACGGAAACCTATACCTCAAATACAGACTGAGAAAGACTCTTTGAACAGGCCTCTTCTTTTGGAAACCCTTTAATCCCTGCTACATTGTGTGTCAATGGTACATGACTATTGACGTTGGCCTACTAGGAAAAAAAATGATGTCTCACTGGCTTAATCATCTAGGATAAAAAATAAATTATATACAGATTGTCTGTTATGTGGATTTGTGTGTGAGTGTATCCTGCTTTTTCCATTCTGATTCTGCAGATTGTAACTCCTTGCTTATTAAACATCTCTATTATTCAGTAGAGACCTTTACATAGTTCTTCACTCTTCAAATGCTTCTATAGATTACTAGGCTGTAAAAATGTGAGTTATCAAGAGTTATGTACCAACAGCAAAGGGAAATATATAGTCTTATACTGAGGTTCAAATTAATGCACAATAAAATGACAGTTTATTCAATACCACTCACAAATAGTGAGTGGTATTGAAAATAGAAAAACACAGGAACTTTGGAAGAATCTCAATTTGTGCTCACACAATTTCTTCTCTACATAGAGGCATCAGGTGAATACGTTACAAAAGCAACTCCTCCAGGAATCCTGTGAGCTGTTAATATTATCTCCATTGTAACACTAGGGAGATTGACTTTTAGAGCTGTTAAGAAATTTGCCCCAGGTGCAACCACTGTGGAGGTGGTGTGGCACTTTCTCAAAAAGTTGCATATAGAGATACCATTTGACTCAGCAAGTCCACTACTGAGAATATACCCCAAAGAGACCATAAGCGCCATCCAAGTAGATATATACATACCCATGTTTATCGTGGCTTTGTTCACAATAGCAAGGAGTTGTAAACAATTTAAGTGCCCATCAACAAACAAATGGATAAAGCTGTAGTCTATTCATACAATGGAATACTACACAGTATTGAAAAACAAGGAACTCATGCAATATTATAAAAGTGGGTGACTCTGGAGGACATTATGCTGAGTGAAATATCTCAGTTACAAAAAGGACAAACACTGCATAGTGTCATTGTTGTAAAACAGGACTGACATCAGGGTTGGGGGGAGACTGAGAAAGATAGGATAAATAATTTATACTGCATTGAAACAGATGAGGGAGAAAACTGTTTAAAAGGGACATGTGATTAGGTATTGTCATGACAGATGTCCAGAATGAAGTCAGCATAGTGGAGTGGACTTGTGGGGAAGGATAACAATGAAAGAATTTTTCTTTTACTTTTCAAAGAGAAGAGCAAATTGGGGTAAGGGAGTCGTGGGCAGGGAGAAAAGTGCAACAATGAATGAATGCAAATCCTCAGTCTCTGTAAACTTTCATTAAAATTAATAATAAAAAAAAAATGTTTTTAAAGTAAAAAAAAAATTGCCCCACATAGCCAATAAGTAGGGGGACCCAGATAGGTTTGACCCTTGAATACAAGCTCCTAATTACTCTGTTTTTGATCTTTGTTAGGCTTATGTTACGAAATCCACATACTGCAAGGATCTAATAATAATGCCCAGTTTCCATCTCCACTCAGATCCTGCCTGGCCCTGTCATATCTACTCAACCTCCAAACCTAATGAAAATTAGGAAAGCAGGGGTATTCTCATTTTTGGCACTGCTCTTCAAGGTAGTGCCACCACCACCCCTACTCTCTGTAGAACACGGGGTGACTCAGAGAATGAAAGACCCAATTGACGGTGTGATTCACTTTGAGAGGAAAAATGACAGAGAAGGTGCAGTGAGTAAGGGCCTGGAGGTAGAGCAGGGCAGGCAGGGCCAGCAGGTATGCAGAAAGCAAGCCAGGGTGCAGGACAGAGTACGTACAGATCCCGAGTGGGTGGAGGTGGTGCTCATCATGCTGTCACAGCTGCCGTTTCGGGTCACGGGTTCCGAGCCCGGCCCCACTGGCCACAGCTCCCTCTCGGGCATCGCCTGAAGCAAGGTGCAAGGGGCTCCCAGAGGGGAAGCGAAGAGAAGCGAAGAATGTCCCAGGCCGGGCCTGAAAAGAGAAGAATCCAAAGCACGTGTGAGCCAAGGCATTGGCAAGGCTCTGCCCAGACCCTGGAGCAGTGTAGCAACCGGGACACCAAGCAAGCAGAGAGCTAGAGGGGGCCATCAGCCTGAGTCCCGGGCTGTTGCAAGGACAGCCAGTAGGCTCACAGGACATGCGGAAGGGAGGACTTGGCTGTGGAGACGCAGTCTAGCCAGAGAGGAGAACCCATCGCTTCTTAAGTCACCATTTTTTCTGAAGCAGGAAGCTTAACCCACATTTTTGTTACAATAAACAATTTGACAGGCGTTAACAGCTTGGGTTCTGGAGGCAGTTGCATTTGAGTTCAAATCCCAGTTTAGTCATTTATAGTTACGGACTTTAAAGTAAATGACTCTGAGCAGCGTCGTCCCTGCCTTACAGCAACTGTAAGGATTGAACGAGAGGCCATGGTGCAGTTTAGACTCATCCTCCATTGGTTTCAAGTCTGTCAACTTTTACAGGAGCTTACTATCTTGTTTCCCCTCCATAATAATGGTGGATGTAAACTGCCAATTGGTTTCAATTAGCTCCCCAACAGGTAACCCACCAAATACCACCAGGCTCCTTATACCACTGTCTGTTGGTATTAAATACTAACTTTAGAGAAAAAAAAAAGAAAGAAAGTAACCCAAACCAAAACACCCTTCATTGTGGTCAAGTTTGAACAGACTCATAGCTGACCCTGCAGTGGGTTTGGGGAAGCTGTAAATCACTCGGGAGACTGCCAATCTTTCTCCCACAGAGCCACTGGTGGATTTGAACGGCTGGCGGGGAGCCACCTTTTGAGTCAGCAGCCCAGCTCTTATTGGACTGTGCCACCAGAACTCCCTAAATTCATCACTATGACTGTCCTTACAAAGATGAAAACTACAATGACACTAAAGTGAAGTAAAAATATAATGTATGAAAGGATGTTTTGGGGGAAAAGGGAAGCAATCTCCTCCTGCGCAATCAACCACCTCTGAAAACCCTCCAGCCTTTTCTTGCTCCCGGGGAATCCAACACAATGTCACTCCTGAACTCCTTTAGCAGTGCCCAGAAGGCTGCAGAAATAAAAGCAATTGCAATAGCATTGCTTCTAAGAACACAACATGCTATCACGCACAGGTATGCTAATTAACTCTTCAAAATAACCTGCAGCACGGGCAGAACGTGACATTGCCTACATTCTACAGAATGAGAAAGAAGGGGGCCTCCTTCCATTGCCATTTCCTGAAAGAAGTAGGGAATGATCTGTAAGGGTATACACAGGGGCAACCTTCAGATCCAGGGGCCCCCAGGGCAAATGCAAGAATGACACATTCACAAAGAAATGTCTTTGGCATGTCACCAGATGAAATACTGAAAGCCCTGGCTGGGATCATCCTCTCCTTATACCTCATACCTTAAGTCCTATTAATCATCTGGCTCAGCTGTATGCTTCTAGGCCAGATAATTGCCCCAACAACAGACAGATATTTCCAAAGAGCAGGGAAATGGCATCTATTGCCGTTGAAGATCACCAGGTGCTATTATCACCAAAGAGATGAATCTGAACTTGAAGCTGAAGTTAAATGGGTTCTAAAGTGATTGCACTTCATTTCCACATTGAATCTTCTGACCCAAAGAGTTTAGACTATTTAAAAAATATATTAAAAATTATTTAGTATTGGTCATCTACTTTAGAAATAACTGGTAATTGCTAACCCAAGAATTCAACTTTATGGATAATAAACAATTATATATAAAATTGAGAAGAATGTGAAAACCAGAACATTTAACTGTGCCCATACGAAACTTGCACACAGACCAAAAAGCACTAACTCAAACAGAAGAAGGGGCATTCTGTAGTTTAAAACAAAGGTTCGGTCAGGGCTGCATTTTTTCCCCACATCTATTCAACATGTATGCTGAGGAAATATTTCAAGAAGATGGACAATATAGAGAAGAATCTGGTATTAGTATATGAGAAAGACTCATCAACAACCTGCATTATTATATAGATGGTACAATCTCACAGAAATTGAAGATGACTTGAAGCACTTACTGAAGAAGATCAAAGACAATATAGTCTTCAATATGGATTAAATAAAAACAATAGGATAATAAAAATCCTCACCAATACTGGACTAATCATCACGATAGATGGAAAAACTTGAAGTTGTCCGTAATTTCATTTTACTGTGTCCAACAACCAAGCTCAGTGGCAGCAGTAGTCAGAAATCAAAACACACGTTTCATTGGGCAAATCTATTGACAAAGACCTTTTCAAAGGGTTAAAGATGTCCGATTAAAGGCTAAGGTGTGCCTGAACAATGGTACTTTCAATTGCTTTCTCTGCATTTGAAAGTTGGACATGACTAAGGAAGACCAAAAAAAGAGTCATTAATTTTGAACTGAGGTGTGGCAAGGAGTACTGATTACACCAAGGGCTGCTAAAAGAACAGCAAATCTGTTTTAGAGGAAGTGCAACCAGGGTACTCTTAGAGGCAAGGAGAGTGAAACTTCATCTCACATATTTTGGGTTATGTCTCAGTAGAGGTCAGTCTTGGGAAAAGATATGGTTGGGATATTGGAGGGTCAGAGAAAGAAATGAAGACCCTCAAAGAGATGGATGCACACAGCGACTCCAACAATGATCTTGAGCATGGTGGAGACGTAAGGATGGTATAGAATAGGGCAAGGCTTTGCTCTGTTGTTCACAGGGTCATTATGAGTTGTAATTGATTTGAAGGTTCATAATAGAACAGAAAAGGGCAGTTACAGGTGAATCAGCCTGCTAAAAATATCACTCCTGGCAGGAAATGGTAGAGAAGCCAGAAGAATGCAAAGAACAAGAATAGTCCATTCAGCCACTACACTAGAAAGTCTTCTAGGGCCTATCTGGATACACACAAAGTTAGAGGCTTAAAAGTGGCAAAAGAATTGAATAGCTCCAGGTGGATTTAAAAAGTTATTGGTAGCATTGAGTAACAAAAAGTTATAGGTGGTATTGAGTAGGTTTCAACTCAAAACCACTCTAAACACAACCCTAAATAAACACTTCCTGGTACTTCATCATTACAATCATGGCTATTTTTTAGAACAGCCTGATAATGTGCCCAAATATGTGAGACAAAGGCTGTGTTGTCTAGAAACTGCAGATTATTAACAGCTTCCCTCCAACACTAATAACATATTCTTCATATAGTCCAGTTCCTCAGACTACTTATTTAGCATGCACACTGAGTATATACAGAGAAAGGATGTAACCTTGATGTACACCTTTCTTTACTTTAAACCGCTTACTCAGTTCAAAGAACTACCTTTGATCTACTTACAGGGGTTGCAAGAGTGAAGACTTTTAGCTTGCAGTGTCATCCATAATTTATTCCACACAGTTGAATGCCTCTGCTAGTCATTTTTTTGGTATTCTCTGCTTTCAGTCAAGATGTATCTGACGTGACTAAGGATAAACCTCAATCCAAATCCTCTTTTGTATCCAACTTGAATTTCTGGCAGTTCTCTGCTGATGTGTTGCTGCAACCTTTTAATTAACTTCTGCAAATATTACTTGCATGTGATATTAGTGATACTGTTTGGTAATCTCTGCATTCTGATGCATAGTTTTTCTTTGTAATGAGAATAAATATTAATCCCTTCCAAGTACCTTTCAAATTCCTTGTCCAAGGGAGTTAGCAGACAGGAAACTTTCATTTATCGAAATATTGGTGGCTTAGCATGGTGATCATGGGTACAGGCCATGGACGAAAACATTTTGGGTTTCATTCCAAGCTCACCTCTCACTAATTGTACATCTTTGAGCATGTTATTTAATATCCTCGTACTCTTATTTTCAGTATGATAATAATTGTGAACTTACCTCCCTTGTCATGAGAAGCTGATGCATTAGTATGTATAGATACTTCTAACAGCGCTGATCTAAGCATGTTAGCCAATATCAGTGCATGAGCTGAGAGTTGTACCATTTCTGCTGATAGTGAACAGGTGATGATGGATTGAGAGATTTTAATAGAAGGAGGAAATGCTTCTGTGGTGCAAAACAAAGTGCAACACAGAACTGTCAAGCAATGGTGAAAGTCTGGTTTATGTTGAAGATCACAGGGGTAAAAAGTAAGATGTTGTGAGTAATCAAGTCATAACTGACCCATAGCTGATGCTCCCGTGAAACTTCACAGGCAGTAAAACTCATGGGAAGAGATGACCCATCTTTCTCTTACTGAAAAACTGGTGGATTCATACACAGTGGTAGCTTTAGGATTGCAGAGCAGCTTCTTATCACTAGGCCAAATACATATGCATGCATATATGATGGATGGATATGTATGTGTGTGTGTGTGTGTGTGTGTGTGTGTCTATTTAAAACAACAACAAAAAAGTGGCATAGTCTGTAGGAAGTTGAGCTCTTTAAGTCAAAGGTGGAGAAACTCTGTGGTTAGAGTCCACCAGCGACTCCACAATAGAAAAATGAGCCGTTTCCTCCCAGGAGTTTACAGCCTCCCTAAAACCCACTAGAGGAATTTGAGGAATGAGTAGGAAGAATATATACTGTAGCAAGACTCCAGTTCTACCTCCCCTATTTCTAGTCATTGTTATCAGGCACTATTTGTTGAAAAGGTATGGAGACAGGACACATCCCTGGCGTACACCCTTCCTAATTTTGAACCATGCAGTGTTTTTCTTGCTCTGTGTTGATGACTGCCTCTTGGTTCAAGTAGAGGTTTCGCATTAGCACAATCAAGTCAAGTGTCTGGGATTCCCATTCTTCTCAGAGTCAGCCACAGTTTGTTATGATCCACACAATCAAATGCCTTTGCATAATCAATTAAACACAGATAGACATTCCTTTGGTACTCCCTGCTTTCAGCTGAGATCCATCTAACATTAGCTACAATATCCATAGTACCGCAACCCCTTC